AGCTCGGGAGATGTACATCTGTACAGTGGACTCCATCTCTCCAGCTGGAGCGAGTGAGCTAGGACAGAAGGGAACACAGGTGGTGACTGTGCCACACCTTACAGCTCCTTCAGTGTCCCCAACAAATGTGTGGCCATCCTGGGAGCCACCATCAGACAGCCATGATGATCTGATTTCCTCTTTCTTTCCAGGCCGGAATGTTGGAGGCTCCCCAGACCCATGAACACATCTGAGCAAAGGTCTAATTTATATGAACTTTATTAAAAGAAAGAAAGATACAAAATGCATCACCAAAGGAATGAAAGAATTCACAGCACAGATGCCTAATCCTACAGCAACTTACAGAGATGTGCTGGGCTACACAATAAAGAAGGGAACCAAGGCCTTGATTTCCTGTCTTCAACCCAGTCTCTCTTGGCCACTCAGCCAACCAGCTGCAACCTTCTCTAGAGACAATTTAGGCTGCCTTGCCACAGCTTCTTGCACCCACTTTCCCAATTTCTTCCTGCACAGTCCCTATTCCACTGATACCCCAGGATGCTTACCCAGCATCCTGACTTAACTCTGCCCTCTCCACCCTCAAACCATAGGAGTCTGTGATGCTCAAAGACCTATTTTTGTTCCTGCATTGATGCACTTAATTAAACTGTGCTCATGAGCCAACAGGGTAAGCTGGTTCTCTTACCCTTGATCAAATTACCAACTTTCCCAAGCCTGCATGTGAACCTGGTCTTTCTAGACCATGTTTCTAGAAACATCTTCTTAGGCGCTCTCTCTGGCATCTCTCCACTCCAGCTAATGAATAAGTGCTTTCTCCCTAATGCAGATGCCTGCATCATCTCTGCCCCATCTCCCACTAAATTTATAGGACAGCTCCACATCTCAGCTTCTCTGCCAAGGAAAGACAATCAAACACCTCGATCTTGGCACCCACCAGTCAAACCTTGCCCGGTTCAGGTCTCCAACCCCATCAACTTCCTTTGAAAGTTTTTCACTTCTTTCTTGGACTTCTGCTCCTTTGGAATTCTATCTCTGCAGTTTTAGAAAATGACATCATTTTACAGATACAGTAATAGGAAGATGACAGTGAAGGAGCGCTATTCCCTTCCAAATTATATGTTCTCTGAACTATTAAAAGACTGGGCCACTCTTGCCATTTTTAACTTTTTCTAAATGTCTATGGTAATCAGTCCTTAATTAGTACAGTCAGACTCTCAGCTGGCTTTTAGGAATGGCAATGAATCTTAGCAGGCTGGCCATTGGTCCCTTCTGCTCCTGTAGTCACTGTGTGTCTTCGCATATGACTTCACGTAACTGCTGGAAAGCAAAACAAAACAGCTTCCTCCAGAGAAGACAAGTCACAGACAGCAGCTTTACCCAGATCTACCACATTGTATCCCCATTCAAGCTCATACTGATGGAGGAGCTCGGGGCCAGAATAAGTCAGGTGAAATTTTGCTATTTGATACCTCGGAGTGGGGCTTTACGGTATGAAATGCATCTCCGTATACTTCTCATCCCATCCTCACAGCAACCTTGTGAGGAGGGCAGGGCGGGTATTGCGATCCCGTTCTACTGACGTGCAAACTGAGGGTCCAAGTTGTTAAGGAACGGGAGCAAGGTTGCACAGCTCTCGTGGAAGAGCCAACACCCAAATCAGATCTCTGCTACTTCACCCTCTTCCCCCTTTCCAGCATGAAGAATATAAACAAGGTCTTCTTCCTCTACTCCCTATTCAAACAGCATTCTCCCGACTAGTACAACTTGGACAATCAAGAAAAGAACAACTGATCAAGCTAATTATCATATCTAACATGGGAGGTTGCTGTACATCAAGAATGTTTCTTTTTGTGCTTTCACTAGGACTCCAGGCTTTCACTAGGATTCCCACGTCCCAGATAAGGTGTTCAAGATTTTACTTCCAAATTATGCTCAAAGCTACTTGTCATCCATCTTTCATATTTTGCCAGCATTCTGGACCCTCCCAACCCTATCCCTTTAGGAGGAAAATTTAGTATTTCCCTCAGTTTTCCAATGCCTCTGGGAAGCCATTTAGTTTATACATCTCTTTGAGCATTTGTGGAATTTTCTCTCGTAGCCAGAGGACTTTTTTTTTTTTTTTTTTTTTTTTTTTTTTTTTTTTTTTTTTTTTGTACTGGGGATCAAACTCGGGTCCCTGCGCTTGCAAAGCAGGCACCAGAACCACTGAGCTAAATCTCCGGCCCGACATTTCATTTCTAAAGGTCTCAATTCTTACTTTATTTCCTGAGCAGGCTACACGTCTATCCTGGTTTACCAACCAGGTCCTCTGTCCAAGGCCCCTATGCATCTCTGGAAAGCTGCTCTTCCAACTCAAGAGTGCATAAATTTCTGGAGTCATCTTTAACAGCCTCCCTCAAAAGCAGGACACCCCCATCTCATCCCTGTTTTTGACGCAGGTTGGAGCCTTGGGAGGCACACGATGGCCTGTGCCCACAGTGCCCCCTACTGGAGGTTTCCCACCAGGCAACATTTTTGTAGTTTAGTTGGTTAGGGCTGTGGCATTGAGGTGGGAAATCTCTGGAATTAGACCAGTCTCATCCCTTTCTAGACATGAATTCATTTCAAAGATATTTAGTGGGCACCCACGATGAGCTATCAGGTGCTAACTCTTCAGTCAGAATTGCAGTGAAGAGAGACACCATCTTGGCCTTCATACCACTTATCCTATACTAACTGGTTCTGTAGAGCCACCACTTCATTCCCACTTGGTCTGATTTAGCTGGTGAACTCAACAAGACCTCCCCCAAAGTCCAGATACTCCACAATTATCTGTCCACCTATGGGGACAGCCTGACCTCTGCCAACCTTCCTTGGGCAGTTTCAGGTCCAGATGGGCCCAGCTCCAGTGATCCTTCCTCTCTGCTGAGCCTTAACTACCTGGAATTCTCCTCCCTGTGCCTCCTCTCTTAGAACCAGCTGTTCCAACTACACATCCACTCAACTCCAGGAATTATTCTTGAATATCCTTTATAGAGGTGTGTTTCATTGAAGTTAATATTCAATCATATATGTTATGTCACAGATAAATACTAACTGAAGTAGAAATGTGCATATATGAATAATATCAGAAAATAACTCAAAAGAACCCAACTTCCTGTATCGCTATTTACAATATCACAACCTATCTCCAATCAATTACTATTCAGACATACTTTTCCTTTGTTGTTATCACTGAGATAATTCCAAAATCTCTTTTTCTGTGCTCTTGACTGCATCACACAACTGCTTCTCCCAAATAGTCTTCATTCTTGTCATACACAAGGGTAAAGCTCATTCCCTTAATGACCGCAGTCTACTTAGCTGTTACCCCACAAATGAAAACAGTTTCCAGTTAATGACTGGACTGCAAAGAGCAGCCACAAATGTCTCTGTACGAATATTTTTCCTGATGAATTATTTTCCCAGAATGTATTCCCCAAAGTGAGATAAGATAGTCTTATAATTAAAAAAATTTTTTTGTCAAGTATTTCCCCAGTAGCCTCCAGAAAGTGTTACTGTGTCAGGAGTCTGCATATTTCTGCAGAACATATTGTGAAAATTCATTTTTGAATTGACTGGGCGTGGTTGAACATGCCTGTAATCCCAGCACTCAGGAGGCTGAGGGAGGAGGATTGCTGTGAGTTTGAGACCAGCCTGGGCTACATAGTGAGTTCCAGGTCAGTCTCAACTATATAGTGAGACCCTGTCTCAAAAAAAAAATAAAATTCATTTTTGACAAATGCAAGGTTTAGATTTTTTTCCCATTTTACTAGTGTGTTTCCCCCTGGGTGCTTAGTCTATTTCATTCTTTGTCCGAGTAGACTCTTAGTTGGTACATATGCGATATTGAGACTCAGCTTTCCCTCATCAAATCAGTTCTATGTAGTTTCCTTATCTTATTGGCTTTTAACCATTATTCTGCCCTCTATGTATATTTTTGTTTTCACATGTTGAAGTTGTCCACCTGGACATTGAAGAGTTACAGCACTGTTTTGATAAATAAGAAATGGGCTTCCCGGAAAAGGATTTTCTTTTTCCTACCCCTGGTGCGCATTTTCCATACAGACTTGTCTTGGATCTCTCTGGTTTCCATGAAGGTTCTATGATCCCTACATCCATTCCCTTTCGGTCATCTCTCCATAGCCCTTAGCTAAACATGCCCCATAGCCTACTCCATCACCTCAGTGCCACCTTGGTGACCACAGTCACCTCTAACTGCATCCTTCATTTTTACTACTCCACCCGCCCCTGCTCTACCGCTGACTTCTCAGGTCCTCCAGCTGGTTAGGCACCCCAGCCCCACACTGGCCTCCAGGGTTTCGTGGCTTCCCAATTCCTCTACCTTAGTTCAGCCAAGCAAAGGTTAACATTTCTAAAGGAACGCTATTGAAAAACTAAGGAGAAACAAACAACAAAAGGACTCCAGGAAGTGAAAAGGAAGCCCAACATGGTGGGGACTGTACATCCAGCACAGGAGTCACCTCAGATTGGCTCAGGGTGGGAAGCGTGGAGGGCGCCGCTTCTCCAATGCTGTTTTTCAGACGCCAGCTCCGCGAAGCCTGGCTTTTCTGGTCACCTATTCTTTTCATGGCCTCTGAGACTATTACCTACCACTTCTGCTCTTGCCTGAACTCGGAAACACTTGAAGCCCAGCCTATTTCCCTGGAGGGCCAAGCCTTCCTGGCTGCAGCTGGTAGACATGCCATTGTCATCTGCAGCCATTTTGAGATCTCAGGGCTTTTGTGACCCCAGCTCTTCTGTGCCAATCTGAGGGCAGCCAGTTCTTGGTTGCTTCACAAAAGGCCCACAAGGCTGACCTACCTTTGGTCTTTTTTTTTTCCTTTTGTCTTTTTTTTTTTTTTTTTTTTTTTTTGGTGATACTAAGGTTTAAACCCAAGTCCTTCACCCTGTGCTACATCCCTAGCCCTTTTAATTTTGAGACAGTGTCTCGCTAAGTCTCCAAGAGACCCAGGCTGGGTTTGAACTTGCAATCCTCCTGCCTCAACTTCCCAGAGTGCTGGGATTATAGGCATGTGCCACCATGCCTGGCTAGGTCCTTCTAGGCTCAGAGAACAACATGTACCCGCCTCTACAGGACTCCCTCTCGGCTACTCCACTAGGAATGGTTTTGAAGAATGCAAATCAGGACACATTTACAAGTCTCAGAAATCTAAACTATATAGCAGTGGCCTCAACAGCAGCATATAGTCACATACAAAAAGCAACAGGTTCGGCTGGCATCCAGCACCCTTTCTGCCCCACTGCTTTAGAGAACTATGGTCACACCACTGCTATGGGTCCCCACCCCTGCATATCAGCAAAGGAGTTAGTAGCTTGACATTTCTCGCTGAAACACTGCTCATCCTGCCTCCAGGAAATGCCCTCCACCACAGTATCCCACCCCTCCTCCCCGCTCCCCAGTTCTAGCCCCTCTAACTGTCAGGGGAACGAACCCGAAAGACATGGATGGTCCCATTACTGAGAGACACAACCAGATACCTGCCATCTACCATGGTGGTCACCCGGGGCTTTTCCAGGCCGTGGAAGGCTGTCAGGAAGTCGCCAAGAAGTGACCCCTTTGGGTCCAGGATCACGACCTTATTGACCTCTCGGATGGTCAGAAAGATGTAGCCATTCTTATCCACAGACAGGGACCCCGGCTGGCAGCCATGCAGGCCGGGTCCTTTGTACTCCCCAATCACCTGACCCAGCCCATCACAGACCACCACGCTATTCTGCTGCCAATCAGACCCCACAAAATTGCCCTGGGGGCTGGCGGTCAGGAACACCAGTGCCCGCTGGCCCCGGCTAGCCTTGCCCCCAGGGATGAACCGGGTGGCCAGGCTGCCTTCCATGTTGTACACTTCCACATGGCCTGCCACGCTGACAGCCACCCGGTCCCCGCCAGGTAGCACGGTCACGGCATGGCTGGCTTGGCCGAGGCTCAAGGCCCGGCGCCACTGAACCTCACCACTGGGGCTGATAAGATAGAGCCTCGCACCAGCAGAGAAGGCCACCGCGCTTTGCAGGGAGGCCACACTGCACGGGGAGCAGCCATCAGGCACCGGCACCAAACCCTTGTAGTCGCCATTGAGGGAAAAGCGTTTCAGTGCCTTGTTCTGCTCATCTGCTACCAGGATCTCCCGGGGGCCAAAGGGACAGAGCCCAGTGATACGAGGGGACCGCTTGTCTCCAGGCATCCTCGTGGGAAAGCTGCAGTAGAAGATGGGCCTGGGGAGGAGGCCTGAGCTGTCCAGGTTTGGCTCCAGGGCAGCTCTGGGCTCGCGAGTGATGGATTTGCACCTGCCTTTGAACTTTTTCTTCTTGTTAGATCTGCCACCAGACTCCAGTAGGGCTCCTGTGTCTTCCTGAGGCGACTGGGCTTTGTCCTCTTTTAGGGTTGGGGATCCGTCCCTACATGGGGGCTGGACTCCACTCTGCCCTTCTGGCTTGGCTCCAACCTCTCCCTGGTTCCATGTTTCAGCCCCTCCTTGGGTAGCTGCTCCATCTTTCCCACCATCCTTCTCCGTCTGCTGTTCCTCAAAAGACAGCCGAAGAAGATGGCAGTTTTTGTCCAAAAACCCAGGGTGAAGCTCCAGCTGGGGTAACAGGCAGGGCGCCAGCCCAGGTGTCCAGGGACAGCCCTGTAGCTGCTGGAGTCTCTGGGTGATCGCCCCCTCCAGCGAGAGTATCTCAGCCTCTCGCCCCAGGTTAAGCACCCGCCGGGCAAAGGCAGCCGCTGCCCTGGCCACCTGTTCCCTGTCCTCTAGCCTGGCCAGCCTCTCCCGAGCAGCCTCCTCGGCAGCCTCCACATGGGCCCGTAGCTGTCCTAGCACCTCCTGCTTCTGGGCCAGCAAGGCCCGGAGGACCCCTTCAGCTGCCTCCTCTACCTGTGTCCCCACCCTGGCAGCCTGCTCCCGCAGCCGGGCCAGGGCTTCCTTTTCTACCACCCGAGTGGCCTCCAGCTCTGCCAGGTTGCTGTCTACACCTGCCAGGAGCTCCTCTAGGCCAGGCCTACGGGCACGCACAGCCTCGGCTAGGGGCAGGCAAGGGTGGTCCAGGTGGGGGTCCAGGCGGCACTCACGGCATAGCAGCTGAGAGCAGGGCTGGCACAGGAAGCGCAGAGCCTCTCCGGGGTGCTGGGGACACTGGGCCGCCTGGCGCTCCCGGGCTTCTTCGTCATACCACCCTGCCCGGTAGCCCACCAGGTCTACCACACGGTGGGTGTGGGTCTGGCGGGTGCAGCGATGCCCGTCGGCACAGGCCTGGCACAGGTCATCGGCACAATCCAGGCACCGGGCTGTGGCTGGCCCCCCAGCACTGGTGCCCCCCACAAGGGGACACAGAGCACAGGCTGGCTTCCCTGCACGCAGGTCCCCACAGGCTCGGGCCTTCACCAGGTCCAGGAGCCCATTGACAAAGAAGTTGGTCTTGAAGGCAGCCACACCAGCAGGTGGCACAGGCACTGTCTCTCGGCACTCTGGGCAGCGGACGTGGCTGCCCTCGGCCAGCTGGGCCAGGCAGTCCTGGCAGTAGGTGTGCAGGCAGGGCAGCGTCTTAGGTGTGTGCAGCTGCTCCAGGCAGATTTTACAGGCCAGGAAGTCACTGCTCAGGGCCTCCAGCAGAGAGGTGGGGGAGCCCTGGGAAACCATTCTGTGAAGCAAGGGTAGGGTCAAGGGTTAGAGGTCAGAGGGCGCTTCCACCGCATCCCCTCATCTCAAGCCTCCCCTACATTCCCAGGTCTGGGATCTCACCTGGTCAGGAACTTCCTCCTTGCTTCCTGGGGACTTGGAGCTTGCTCTGGCCCTAGGGAGCCACCCTCTTTCTCCTCTTCTTCCTCCCCAGGTACATTCAGCAACAGAGAACCCGGAAACACTGCTGGTTGTGTCCGGCCTGTGAGAAATCAAAGAACAAGAAGGCCCCCGGCCTCAGAGAGCCGAAAACCTAGGTGACAGGCCAGGGGCAGGTATGGTTGGGCCCTCCCTGGGTAAACAGGTACCCGGGTCCTAACGTGTATCCCACCTATTTGCCCTCTAGACCCAAGGGCAGCATCCTGTGGCCTGGACACCACTTGCTGCCCCAACTTTTCTGGAAACAGATTCTGGGCTCCTCTTCTGGAGTCCTTCACTTTTAGCCTTTCCTGCCCAATGCATTCCAGAAACTTCTGAAGGATAAGAGTTGTGGGCTCCCAGCATAGGGACTGAGAAATCCTCCACACAGAGATATGGTCGTTTTCCCCCTTTCCTGGGGCAGGGGGGCGAGGGGCTCAGAGAGTCGGGGAGGTCTTTAGGGAAGCTCCCGCCTGGGGAGGGGGTGACTGGGGTGTGCCCTGCTTCCCGCCTTCCCTCCGGTCCCTTTTTTTCTTCTCTCCCCTCCCTTCCTCTTCCTCACGCGCGCTCTCGTCTCCTCCCTTTTTCTGTCCCCCCCATCCAGTTAGGCCCTTGTTTTTTAGTTGCCCCCACCCTTGCTTACCCAGCCAGAGCTGCCCTTGGACTCTAGGGGCTTCAGGGGGACCCCCGCGGCCTGGACACCGACATTGCTGACAGGATGTAAGAGAAACAAAACTGAAACTAATTGTACTTGTGGTGCAACTTCCGTCCCTGGCCGGGACACCGAGAAGCACAGGCTAAGGCCCCGCCCTCTTCCCCACCCAGCCAGGACCTCTCTCCGGAGGTCTCCAGGCCCCTCCTCAGGCAGCTGCTGCCAGAGAGAGAAAGAGAGAGAGAG